GGATTCTTTGGCAATTTAGGGGGAGAATATTCCTCAAAGATGGAACAGTAAGCAGTCAAAGACTCTGAGGCTGGATCATGTCTTTGCAGAAACAGGAAGAACATCTGGGAAATTGGCATACTATGTCAAAGAGGTAGAAGACAGCCAGCCATGTAGGGCCTTAAAGATCATTGCCATGTGAAATGTTGCTTTTATCCAGAGTAAGATGAGCTCATGGAAGTTTTGACATAATAAGTAACACGACCTGACTTTACTTATGAACAGGGTCACTCTGACTTTTGTGCTTAGAGTCTAGGCAGATAGGGGGTGGGTGGCTAGGCAAGAGATAATAGTGGCTTGGACTGTGCATTAGCAGCAAATGTGGGAAGAAGTGAACAAACGATCAGATTCTGTAAAGATTTTTGATATCCCATAGGATCTGCTAACAGATTAGATGGTAATAAAAGGTAAATTGTCAAAGATGACTAAAGTTTTTGGTCTAAGCAACTGGAAGGCTGGAGCTCCATTTAATATGCTGAGATGGATAAAGTCTGAAAAAAGGACCTGCTCACTAGCCATGCACTTGGCCTCTGAATGTGTAAATGAAATGGTAACACATGTAAGTTGGTAGAACATGTGCATGCTCACCCCGTGCAGTATATTTTGGGAGATCAGGTATGTTATTTGGGATGTTGAAATCAAGATGTCCTCAGATACCCAAGTAGAAATATTGAATAGGAGTTGGATATGAGTGTGGAGTTCAAGAAATGAAACTTCAGCTAATGAAGGGTATTAAGAACTCTAAGATTGAAATGGGGATGTAAGAAATAGATGGGGATGAAAGAGAACTAGACCACTCAAGCATTAAAGGTACAGGAGAAAAGAAACCAGGTAAGGAGCGGAAAAGCTGAGGAGGTCGGAAGAGGTTGGGAAGGAAAACCACAGGCACAATGTCCTGTAAAGCCAGGGCATATCAAGGAAATTAGGGAGAGGAGAGACTCCAAATGTGAGGAATCAAGAAAGGTAAGAACTGAGTATAGCACTGAAAGTCACTGGTAACCTTGCTAAAGAAAGGTTGGCACAGAAGTTAGGGCAAAACCTTAACTGGGATAGAAACTACTGAGGTGTCTGGAAGGCACCACTCCTTTCATCCAAGGATGGAGCATGATATACATACAGATTCTGAATTTCTTCCACCTTTACTAATTCTAGGTCTACATGAGGAGCCTCACTAGGGACTTAGTGTGCCTATTATGGTTTAGATGTGAGGTATCCCCCAAAAGCTCATATGTGAGACAATGCAAGACAGTTCAGAAGTGAAATGATTAGATGATGAGAGTTGTGTCCTAATCAATGGATCAATCCACTGGTATGGATTAACTGGGTGGTAACTGTAGGCAGGTCCAAGTGCAGCTGGAAGAGATAGGTTTGGGATTTGTATTTTGTCCCTGGTAAGTACAGCTTAGTCTCTCTGCTTCCTGATTGCCATGCCCTTCTGGGGTGATGTTCTGCTTCACCTTGGGCTCAGAGCAACAGAATTGGCCATTTGAAACCGTGAATGCCAAATAAGTATTTCCTCCTTTAAAACTGCTCTTGTCGGATCTTTTGGTCACAGTAGCAAAAAAGCTTACCAAAACAGTGCCTCAGGCAACAGTGTCATTCCCCACTTCACACAGAGAGCCTTAGGAGACAGCAAATCATCTTAGATATGGTAAATCCCTCAAGATGATTTTAGTGAGGTAGGGTAGAACGCTTGCCAAGCATGCGTGAGGCACTGGGTTCAATCCCTAGCACCACATAAAAATAAAGATATTGTGTCCACCCACAACTAAAAAATAAAATGTTTTTTAAAAAAAGATGATCTTAGGCCTTCCAACTATAAAAGGAGTTTAATTTCCCTACAATGATAAAATAGATCATTAAATATTGAAATTGCATTACTTCTCCATTTAAAATTATTTGGTACTATTTCTTCTGAATAGTTCTGAAAAAGATTAAAGGCGGCCTAACTTACTTAGGTATTTCCCTCTCCTCAAAAAGGATTTAGTCTCTGCTTTGTTGACAATTGTAAAGTTCAAAAATCTGGGAAATGTAAACATGTGTCTTAATTGCTGAGTATTCCTAAATGTATTTCAGGGAAATACCCTTCACATACTCTCATCTATTGATTTTCATCTAAGTACTTTTAACATATAGATGTGATGAGCAACTTCGGCATAGGAAAACAGAAGCTCCATAGGCAGTAACACAATGAACAGTTCTCTGCGGTCTGCAGCCTCATTTGCCCTTGGAGTATGGCCAGAAGCTGCTGCTCACAGTCCCTGGAAATCACCTGGCTGCAGATGGCTAGCAATTTACCTGGCTCCTTTGGGAAAGACGATCCAAGTGTCTTCAGAAACATGTTCTCTCAACTCAGGCAGTGGAACAAAATCAATAAAGTTTATAGAATTATAGGACCTGTAGCCAAAAACTCATTGGAGAAAGGGATGTGGTAGACAGGCCAGCCACTGCTTCCCACTCAAGTGACTGTCTCTATTCACAGCCCAGGCTGTTGGGTTTATGCCAGGTGGCCACTCACACTCCACCATCCACTCCATTTTGAAGCAAGGCGAACAAATCAAGATTTTTGAAATAAAAAGCACAGAGCCAGAATCAGTGAGATGAGATGGGTGCTCATTTGGAAGAGTTAAGAGAGGTCTGGAACCAGGCTCCAAAGTAGATCAAAAGCTACAGGGGCCTGGAGTGAACAAGCCTTAAGCACTGACAGCAGGGTTTCCAGGGGGCAGGAAGCCAGCCCACTGACAAGTAGTGGGGAGGGAACTTGAAGACCCAGGAGAGACATAGGGAAGAGCTTCAGGCCTGACTTTCCAGCTCTACAGCCATATTGATCCAGTCAGACTTTCCTGTTCTTAATGAGTCTCCCTGCTATATTCTTACAGCAAACCTACTTTTATTTCAGCTAGCTTCTGAGGTTTTCCATTTTTTGTAACTCAATAATACTGACTCAAATATGCCTGATCCTCTGCTTTTATGGATGAAATCACTGACCATGACAAGGTTACTGCTGGCCAATTCTAGAACCCAATTCACCTGATCAGTGGGAACTGATACATAAATTAGATCTGAAACCTTAAGCAATATTTCATATGGCTTAATTTATTATGAAAACCCTAAGTTAAACCATGTTTGTCCCTACATTAACATAACTTGTTTTCTCATGGCTCAACTATGCTAAGGCATTAAGGTTCCAATCAAACAGAAAAAGTGGTCTAAAAATAATTTGTATTCATAAGAGAAAATTTAGTCTCTACTTCGTGGTAAGATCAGGCCCAGTGTAAGTATGTGTGTGTGTACACACCATATTTTCTTCCTTGTACTATATCTCACATTAGAATATTTACATAGACACATCAACACTTTTATTTCATCTAGTTCATCATTTGTCAAGTATACTTTTACAAATATTATTCTTAGATACATTTTTAAGCCTTTAAGTGAAGAGGTGTGTCTGTAGAATTGATTTAAGAAAACAGAGTGTGTCATAAGGGCAGTGACCACCACTTCCTGTGTATGTTCTTAGTGATAGTAAAGAAGATTTGTGTGGGTGATGGTTCCATACATACCTCAGAGGCTATGCTGCACAGATGGGACACTGACAGCAAAACCCCAATTGGAGAGAGTACTAACATGAGCCAAGAGCCCTTTATCCCACTTGGATGTTAATAATATGAAAAGCGGACATGAAAGATGTTATTCTGAACACTGAGTAACCGGCACCAGCTTCCTCTCCCATCTGTGAGGTTGTTAAGCTTGGAACTAAGTTGCTTGATAAACTATCTGAAAGGCTCACAAGGTCCTGGGTAGTCCCTAGTAATAACCCCATTTCCAGAGCAGGTGGGTTCTGAACTGCTCAATGCTGTGGTCTGGCTAAGAGTTCCAGGAATCCTCCTCGTGGTTGCCCCAAGCTCGTGGTCTTCCAGGTGGGTTAGCATTTGGGTAAGAGATCAAGATAAGTGCACATAAAGAATATGTAGATTTGAATTGTCATTAACTTGTCTTTGTTCTTTGGAAGTAACAACTTCTTTAAAGACCCTAATTGGCTCTAGAAAAAAAACTGACATTTTAATTAAAAAAAATGTAAATTGGTTAGAATTAAAATCTGTTAACCAAAAATGAGTCTTTATTATTAAAATTTTGTTGGTATGCCTTCAGAAAAAGCCTAAAAGAGTTAAAAATATCAGAATAATTTGCTTAGTTTGCCTGTATCTCTATAGAATACTGAAATTATAATAATAAAATTCTTTTTTTAACTTTTTAATGTAAATATACACTGAAGATTAATTTTTTACAGGGTCAATTTTTATAATCAATTTAAAGTCTACTCTTTTCGCTCACAAAAAATTAAGTATAGTTTTTATTGTTTAAATAACTTTATAATTATTAAATGATATTAAGGAGTCCAATGACCTGTGATAAAATGTTTTGGCATGATGATTTGGAATTAAAGGTTAATTTTTACATCTTTCTTTATTGTCTAGCAATACGATCTTTTAGATTCTACACATTCCCTCTGACTATGTGTTTCTTTGATACACACAAAGACCATATGAGAGATTGTTTAGTTGTACAATTACATACTGTAAGAAAGGAAGGGCACAGCAGGATAAAATGTAACCTCAACATATTAAAATATTTTCCATTCTGCAGCCACTCAGAATGACCCAATAGCAGTAGTATAACCTTTGTTCACTAGTGACTCTTCTGTGTATCTCTGAGATCCAGAATTTGGTCTCTAATATCACTGACTTCTAAAGAAAACAGATCTACCTTGGGGCTGGCTGATTCTGTAACATGGGGGAGGAAAAATTAAAAGTGGGTCTGGATTGTTCTCAGATAGCATGGATGCTTTCTTTCAGAAATATCAGGGTGCTAAAGGGACATTGGAATCAGCATAAAGGGACCACTGACCAAGCTGTGAGTCTGAATCAAATACAAGTGCAGCAAGAGGCCATAATGCAAGATCAGGCTGTACTAAAAGTTTAATTTTTTTTTGTAATTAGGTGAGTGTTTACACCAAATATTTTTCTGCTAATAATTTTGTTTATAATATTGCCATATGTAGTTATTTCTATCTGGGTAGGCACCAAAGAATAAGCAAGAAGAAATTATAATTCAGCCAGATGAGCCTGGTAATAGGTACTAAAATTGAACAAATAATAGGATGTTGTCAGCCTAATATAAATAATAGGAGTATGATGGGCACAAATAATACCACATAGAAAATAGCGCAGGTGATCACACAAAAGACCAAATAAGAGATACAATTAAACACTGTATTTTAAAATATGAATTACTTAATGTTCTTGACAAGTTAACTAGAAAAAACTACAAAAATTATTTGGTTTTTTTGTGGTGCTGGGGGATGAGATGGATATCATTACCATAAGTACATGTATGAAGACACGAATGGTGTGAATATACTTTTATAAACCAGAGATATGAAAGATTGTGCTCTATATGTGTAATATGAATTGTGATGCATTCTGCTGTCATATATAATAAGAATAAAAAATTTTTAAAAACTACAAAACTGAATTTCTTATCACTAAGAAATGAAACAGAATGAAGATTCCCAACAAAGAATACAAACATTTTAAATGATGATAACAAGAGATCAAAATACCCTAATGACAAGCCAATAGGTTAGGTATTGTCAAGCATGTAAAATCCAATGTGTCATTACTACAAAATATACCAAGTTACAAACATAAAAAGTCAGCTCCACACTGTGGCTCAGGTTTGAATTACTCTCGTCTATACAACAACCATATCCAGACTAGATTCAACTGGTCAAAAACCCAAACCCTTTCTTTTCCCCTTTGTTGAAGTAAGAATAATGAAACTCAGGAAAGAAAGAGTACTAAGAGTAGGAACACATTAGATTAAGAATCATACTATACAGGAAGTAACTGACCAAGTAAAGAAATAATAAATTACTTACACTATAATCTTAATGTTTTAGAACAGGTGTAAGTCAATTTTATGATCATTGCTTGTATCTTTTATCAGCTGTTTATGATGTTTGAAGACTTCAAAAGACTTATACATACTGAATTTGTACTCATAGTTTAAATTTTTTTAGAAATTTTAATTAGTCAATATTTGAATTAATGCTGAAATGCTTAAGAAAAATTTGTTTCCCAAATTTTGCTTTCTCTAAATTTAATGAAGTAAAAGCTTAGCAAAGTACATATATTTGAGTAATTTTCATGCCCAAAAGTTTTTCAGACAATTAAGGAATCAATCATTATGGTACAAATGCATAATTCTGAGAAAAAAGATTGTAATTAAGTAATCCCAAGGACCCTGCTAGAATCCAAAGGAAGAAGTGATTTAAATGCACACAGAAAAACAGAGTTTAAGTTATCTATTCCTGTCAAAAACAATAATTTGCTTTATTTTAAAGACAAATGAATCATATCTTAGTAGGAATCACATTTCCATATTAATCACTTCGGTACATGTGACATGATATATGGCTGAGACCAGGATACACTCTTTTTTACTGACCACATAATAATTTAAGTTGTGTGAAACATAGGTCCCTGAGAGGAAAAAAGAATCTGAGGCACATAATGTTGGATCAAGAAAAAAGAAAACTCAAAAGATCAGTACTTCAGAAAGCTACTATTAGACTAGCTGCCAGATCTTCAGAATGCTATCAAGTTGTAAGGATACCTCTCAGAGAAAAGTATTAGCCACATTTAATCTGGTGCATGAGAATAAACACAAAAGTAGTATTAGAAAAACACACGATAATTCCAAGTGATAATAAATATTCACCATACTTAGTACATCCTGGGTAAAGACACAAAAGAAAAAATAGAAGAGTTCATCTGCTTTGGACTTATGAGTGCTACCTTTGAAGCATTTTTTTCCTTGAAAGAAGGGATTTAGGAATGAGCCCCTCCTCATTAAAAAAAAAAAAAAAGATGAAATAACAAAACCATCTTTGGGAATACTCCATTTGCAAAATTAAGCACAATCCATTCATTTCGAGTGCTGTTACCACTCTTACTCAAATTAGACAACTTTTTTAAGTCATGAAGATAAACCTGAAAAATAAAACTTGATGGGGAAGCTGGTATTTGGAATGGTACTCAAAATGGACATGGATGATAGTTCATACACTTATAAATACTACACTGATAATCTGAGGGTATTATGTTGAGTCAGTGAAGGTGAATTTGATCAGAAAGCTTTCCACAATTATGGCTTTTTTCTCATCTCTTCATCCCAGTCAAAATCTAATGCTTCATCATCTAGCTCTGATAGAGTGAAGAGAGAATTTTTAGAAAGAATCAGTTTCTCAGCGGAGCCCTGCAGCTGAAAAGATTTCCTTTTACTCTCAAGCACTGGATCTGTGGTTGGAGGAGGCGGGCTGGGGCCTCTCTCACCCCAGTTCTTCCTTTCAGGAGGAGGAGGGGACTCTGATTTGGATTCCAGCAAGGAAGTAAAAGAGAAGTTTGCCAATTTGGCCAACGTGCCAGTGTGAACCTTGTTGCTTTTCTTACTAGATGAAACCTCTTCCTTTCTGTCTGTCTCACAAGTTAGATGAGAATGCCCAGTCTTGTTCCCAAGCTCCAACTCAGGCTGAATAACCCTCTTTTCAGGGCCACATTCCTTCTCCTCTCTTGATCCATCCTTCTCTGGTGGCTGATGTAACAGCTCCTTTGTTTCACTCTGTTGCTGATTGAAGTTTCTGTTTCCTGAGGTAGAGGTCAGCTTTTCTGGACCCTGCACAGACACAGCTGCTTCTCTTCGTATTCTATGTTGGGGAATTTTAGGACTACAAACTGTTATTTTACTTGTGCCAGAAGATGCATGACTGTGTTGTTCAGAGGAGTGAATCAGTTTTGACTTCTGTTTGAAAGTAAACTTTGCCAATTTGGCTACTGGGAGAACTGGAATCTTAACACTTTCAAGTTCAGACTCTTCTTCCTGAGCAAGGGATCTCAATCTCTTTCCTTTGGATATTTCTGGTGTTTTTTCTGGCCCATGTGCAGGAATGGACTGAGCAGCAGAAGGGTCTGTGGGCTGTGAAGGCACACTGGTGGTACTTTTGGATGACACCTGGGCCTTCTCCTTGCGCAGCCTGAGCAACCTGCTAGGGACATGATGAGTCAGTACCGAGTCGGGCTCATCAGTAGGGACTGCTGTTTCAGACACCAGTGCTCTCCTTTTGGCCTTTTTACCCTCCACACTTCCTGGCCTCAGTGGACCACCTGTTGCTCCTGGTGAGAGAAGTGGCCCACATTCTTGGCCTGGCCCACTCTTTTCCCTACCTTGAGATTTGTTCTTAGAGATTTTCATCGCCTTGTTTTTTTTAGTTGCTTCAGGACCAGGAGAGAGAACGGTATTTTTAGGTTCTATCTTATTTGGTGCCATGAAGTCAAACCAGTCCAAACCGTCATCTCTGCCATCTTTGAGCTCAGCTGAATGTCTTCTACTTGTTGTTTTGTCAGACCTCAGATGGGGTTGGAGGTCTAGAAGTGGGCCTCCCTGGGGACTGCCTCCAAGGGAGGAAGTATGTGGGCTACAGTTCAGGTCCTGCTGTGTTGAAGTTCTAAACTTTGGTTCTTCCCTTATATCATTCCCGGAGGACCCTGGAACAGTTTCTGTCTCCATCACCCGTGGTTGGGATTGGCATGCACTTTCATTCCGTAACCTGGAATGGAGACAAATAAGGAAAATAGGTATTGAAGGGAAGAGAATCTACATTAACCTTTTTATTTCTTCAGTCTCTGAGATCTCATCTTAAAGGTTTAAGTCTAAAATAATTCCAAATTAATATCAAGCATAGCTGCTTAGGGCAGCAAAAGGATTATCCTTTATTAAAAAAATCAATATAGAGTTCAGTGCTGTGATAGGCATTCTAATTTTAAATAAAATTGTAGCAAAATTAAGAAAATGAATCAGTGGTTGGTCTACAATTTTAAGTCTCTCTGAAAGTTCATTTAATTCATTTAAGATTGGAGGTTAGTGTAAAATGTTCAGTCTTATCTCTCATGCAAAAATGTTCAAATATAACTGGCTTGTTGCTCTCTGTAGATCTCTTCACCCAACTAAGGAACTGGATTTTAGTGCATCTAAAAGTCACTTTCCCCAGGAATGAGGTTTCTATGATACCTTTAACCTGGCACTGGCACTGCCCCAGCATTCACATTCATAGTGGATAATTGCAGGTAACTCTGACACCCTTTCCTGCAAAGCCCAGCCATGCTTCAACATAAAATCTGGGCAGTGGCTCTCTTATCAATCTGATAGAGAGCTAAAGCCTACCCTCTCTGAATGATCTGTTCAGTGATACTCATTCTAAATATTGGGCACATTAGAAACTGAATTTCTAACAGGGATTGTACTACTCCCAAAGTATGCCCATTAAAAAGCCCTTAACAACCTAGAAACATCTTCTCAATATAAAGTGTGATATGACCCCATTTCCATGTACTAAATCTGAAAAAAAATTATGCCCAAAAGCAGATAAGAAAATTATTCTAAAATTATGTGTAATCATAGAGAAGAGACTCGAAGGAAATACAAATTTATTTCCATACATTAAAATGTTAATAGTATCTATCTATGGGAAATAAGATTGTTATTTTTGTTTTCTTATTAATTACTGCTAATTTCTAAAATAGCCCACCTACAAAGAACATGTTTTACCTTTATACTCAGAAATAAAAAGTTTTAAGAAAATATTGAGTTATAGTCATTTACAGTAAAATTGGAAATGTTGACATGGAAAATCCATGTTTATTATGACTAATCTGAGTTATAATTAAAAAATCAAGTAGCTTTCAAAATTACTGCTGTTCAGCATCAAATAGAGGTCAGGAGGACTCACTTGTTAAAGCTTTATAACAATATACTAAATGATGAGAAATTTTAGGAATAGAATAATTTTGCCCTATTATTTTTATCTAATTCTTACTCAGGAATTAAACATTCCTACAAATAAAGTTTGTGCAGTTTTATTATACTTTCTTATAAGACAGCATCTTTGTGCCCTCTGCTTTCTGATTCCCCAAAGTGAGTACTAGAATGTCTTTATTTGAAGCATGCTGTCTCTGGTAAAGCATTTTCTAGAAAGTATGACAAAAATATCAGTGATTTTTTTTGAATTATGTGATTTCCTTAAGGAATGAAGAACTCTTTCTTGAAGGGTAAAAACCTATACGCTAGTTGTATTTTTCTCACTTGATAAGAGTAGGTCAGACTTTCAGCACCTGGTTTTGTTGCTTTGAGGATCAATATTAGAATATACTTCTGCATTATGAAGAAATACAATAAGAAACAACATTTTATGACAGAATCCGATCTTTCAGATAGTCACATACTTTTTTCCTCCTGTTCTTTTCCTTTAAGCGAGTCATTCTGAATTTGGCTAATCCAACTGTCATTTTTCTAACACACAACACTGGTTCTCCTTTCTTGAATGCATCATTTTTCAGCTTCTGGTAGCTTGGGCAGGTCAAAATGAGTAGCTCCTCCAAAGGCTAATCCACATCCAGGAAGGGCTTGAAACAACTGGCTAGGTCAGACCATAAACCACGCAACAGAGTAACCGATCTTAGCATCATGCTCTGGATCATAAGAAGAGATGAGAAGCCAAAAGAAAGGGGGGTTGATTTCATACAGACTGCAAGTTAATTGCAGCCTGTCATCTGGGCACTGGTGGGATAAAGCCAGTCCTTTCATGCCTGACTTCCCTAGGGGGGCTCTGATTAGGTTTTATAAATAAAAAAGAATGCTGCTAGGAGAAGGAAGCAAATGGAAGAGAAAAGAATTCTCAAGGTTTTCTAGATTCCCTTCAATAGATGAATGGATAAAGAAACTATGGTACATATACTAAGTGGAATATTACTCAGCATTAAAAGAGAATAAAATTATGGCATTTGCAGGTAAACGGATGGAGTTGGAGACCATCAAGCTAAGTGAAATAAGCCAATCTCAAAAAATCAGGGGCCAAATGTTTTCTCTGATAAGTGAATGTTAATTCATATGGGGGGATATGCATGGGATAAGTGGAGGAACTGTCTATGGGACAAATGGGAGGGGGGCGGGGGCAAAGGGGTAGGAAAAAACGGTAGAATGAGATGGACATCATTATCCTAGGTACATGTATGATGGCATGAATGGTGTGACTCTACTTTATGCACAACCAGAAAAGTGAAAAATTCTGCTCCATTTGTGTACAATGAATCAGAGAGCTTTCTACTGTTGTGTATAACTGATTAGAGCTAATAAATAAATAAATAGTAACAAATAATTCCAAGGTTTTACTTAATACAGTATCTATCCCATGTGGTCCCCAAATTCTCCTGGAGTTGCTCCACCTCCATATGCACTTCATTTATCAGATTCAGGTCAATTATTAAGCCATTCACATTAACGTGAAGATGCCTGAATGAGCAATCTTGCCATTCCTTACTACTCTTTCTCAGGTACACAAAGTCTAGCTTTTCAGAGACCCATGTATTTAGGAAATAGGCAAACATTAAAGTTATGGCCAAATTTCTTCAGGCAGCCAGAGTCCATGCTTCCACTGATTTGCTTTGACTAACACATTCCTTCCCATGTGTCTGTCACGTCTATTATCCACATCTTCGCAAGTCATAAGAAAGCTAAGTTTCTGAGGTGTCGCCCCAGCTGACACAACATGGAGTAAGTAGCAAGCCATCTCCCCTGAGCCTGCCTGAATTTCTGACTCCCAGAAAGTGAGCATTAAAGTTGTGGTATTTTTTTTAAACCACTCAGATTTAGAATGGTTGATTTTACAGCAATAGATAACAGACACAATGCTCTTTAAACAATATAAATTCTATTCAGTTTACATTCCCTTGTTTCACTAAATGCCAGAGAAGTTATTTTCCACTATGTGCCTTTCTTGGTTTTCCTTCCTTACCTTTCAAGTCTTTCAAGCTCTTCATTTAAGAGGCTCTGCAGCTCCAGTTTTTCCAGAATAAGTTCACACTGTCTCTGGTACTGCGCCTGAGGATTTTCAGGAAAGGAAGTGTGGAGAGCGTTCACACCTCCCAGCAGTGTACCTCCCTACGGGGTGAGAAAATACCAGAGTCACAAGGCCATCCAGCACATAGCAAGGACACAGAAGGGTCTTCAGCTCCCAGGTGGCTAAGACCAGCACTAAATACCCCCATCTTGGGGAGCGAGAATCAACTAGGAAAATTTTTCACATTTTAATAGTTCTCTTTCCCGGTTCTGGATGGCAATCATTGATTTAAGAAATGACACTGTCACTAGAGAGACTGTGAACATCACTCAGGTGTGCTGAGAAGAGTTGAGACACACTATTTTCCACCAATGAGCAAAAGCAATGTCAATGATGCAATGAAAGGTCTCTATGACATTTCCCCCTTCTATTAAATGATTATCTATGGATATTTTTCCAGCATTTACTAGGTCTAGCTAGAATAAGATCATTTTTATAACTCTTGATAGTATCTTTTTTTGAAAGAAAGCTTGTAATAAAGGTACACATCAGATACACAAAATATCCTTACCTGCATTGAAGACTCCATTACTGATACCACAGTAATAGCGTCTTCCAGAGTCACAATATCACGAAACATTAGCCGAGCATGAGCTAAGAAAATAAAATGCATTTGAATTTAGGATTATTTAGGATGATACAGGTAATTCTCTACTCCTGCTCTCCTCTACACACACACACAAATCATGCTTTATGAATGAACACTAATAACAAATTAATTTTACTAGAACAAGCACAAAATTCTACATGCAACTAGTTTTACACTTGTTTCTCTAACAATAGACTTGATCCTTCTGCACACGTCATGCAATTTTGTATACATCCATGAGAAAGTACTCTGGACAGTATAGAAAGGTGCTGCAGAAACATATATTTAATACTTTAACAACTTTTAGTCCTTGTTTTAATCTATTATAAAACTACACAAAATTAAAACTCATTTCTCAATTCGTTTTTTTTTTTTTTAATCTATGATTTATGAGCTTTTCAAAACTACTGACAAGCAAGCTTGAATTTTGGGTACTCTTGCCCTAATATTAGACATAAATCCTTGGAAAAAAATGAGGTCCATTACTTTTATAGTATCTTTTATTAAGCTTATATTATTTTATCATGTGATACATAAAGTTCACGGGAAGTTTTTTAAATATTATTTAAACATAATCTAAAATGTAAAAGCCAATGTTAGAAAATAAATGTTTGAGATGCACATTAGCTATACGTGTATATGTTAAGTTCTATGACTTAGGAATGGGACAGGACATAGCATTGTTGATTTGGTTGTTTTAACAATCGGGATGGGTCATGACTGGAAAATACTGAGCAAGAGCCACAGAAGATATATGGAAAACAATTCTAAGCAAGTAACTGTTCCACTAAAAAAGCTAATAGAACTGAGAAGACATCAGAAATGAGGCTTTCTAAATAGTGGTATGTTAAGTTATGGGAGGTCTTGAGATGTCAACCAAGATTCCTCTTTCTTAATGATACAACATTCCACTTGACATCCATTTTCTGTCCTCTGATGAGTGGAAGTCTTAGGGCTCACAGCCTTTACTTTTTAAGTGACTGTGAGCATCTTAGAGTAGGGATTATTCCAATTTACTCTTGACTCCACAGTTCCAAGCTACATGCTCTGCACACAGTAGGCACTCAAGAGAAGTATCACCAGATAAGAGATAAACCTTCTGCTAATCTAATCAAGCTTTCCAACAGGCGGATGGTTGTCCTGGCGGCATTCCGGGAATCACTCTGCCTTTGCCTCTGGTAGTACCGGAGAAGAACTTGATTGCCAGCATCAGACAGAGTGGGCTGGAGAGTCCTAATGAGGCAGAAGTAGGTTTTCATCTTTTCCATACTCCACAGCTTCTCTGATTTGCTTGGGTAACCTGTATATTACGTGTTGGGTTAGTAAAATTTAAGAACAGGAAAATATGTCATCTTAAGGGATTTGATAAAGTTCTTATACTCATTTTTTTATAATTTTATTTTATTTATCTTTGGTACTGGGGATTGAACTCAGAAGTACTTTACAATTGAGTTACATCCCCAGTCCTTTTTGAGACAGGTTCTTGCCAAGTTGCTGAGGTTGGCTCAAACTTGTGATCCTCCTGCCTCAGTCTCCTAGTCACTAGGATTATAAGGCATGTGACACTACACCAGCTTCTTGTACTCATTTAGGTTTTGTGTTCATTGAAATCTAGTCCTATTCTTTGTAAAGCATACATTCTAGAATGGGCAGACTTACAATCTAAGCTTAATAAAAAAAAGCTATCTCAAGGGTTAAAATTATTCAGAACACTTTGGTCTGCTTCATAGTAACAAATGTAAAGCTCACTTTTAGAGATTTCAACTCATAAAGCAGTTCAGTTTTCTTTATGTGCAAGAGTTGAATGGAAATTTTATATCATAAGGTTGCACCCTTTCATCACAAAGGACATATATATAAAAGCTCATTGTACCAGGTGGAGAAAGCCTCTTTTCCTTCTGCTCATTATTCTGGGGCCCCTGAACCAGATTCTCTCACTCACTGCCCTCTGTCTAAGCATTTCTCTATTGTCTGAGAGGAAGGGGATCTTGGATTTATTTAATTTTTTTCAAGAGAAATTTCCTTTAGTCAGGTCTAATCTTTCCTTGCCATGTTGAATTATTTATATATTTTTCACATACCTTTATTTTCTAAGATAAAGGAGGAAATTACACGATCCCAGTCTTTATTCTTGGTATCAAGCAACACCAGGATCAGGTCAAATCGACTTAAAAGTGGGCTGCCGAGGGCGACGTTCACAGACACAGACTCCTGGGGATCATATTGGCCTTTAGGGTTGGTTGCTGCTAGTATGGTGGTCCTTGTGTTTAGCTTGCACACAAGGCTATGGAGAGAGAGGGTGAAATTCACTGACTGTGAGATTCAAATAAAAACCAAGATCAAACTTGTCACTAAAATGGGACTTCATTTTCACCTTGAGAATCTAGAGGAAAAAAATGTGACATAATACAAGGTGGTATCACAATTAACAAGTTCAAACTAGGTATACTGAAACTAGTTTATCTTGAAGAGAAACAACTGTTGAATAAATATTCTTTATGCTCCTCTAGTGAGCACACTCTGCTAAGAGCTAAGAGGTATATAAAATTAAACCAAACATGGATACTATTCTTCAGAAGCTCGTAAACTACCAACTATAATGTAATTCAAGGCAGCAAATGCTAGGTTCTATAAGTATAAAGTTCCCAGGGAACTAAGGAAAATGTTATTAGTCTATGTGATGAAAAAGATGACCAGGAAAACACTATGATGTGACTTTTAAACTGGACCCTTCAAGACACCTGGACATTTTTAAGTGGATAGAGACATATACCTGTGGAGAACAAGAGGTAGGGATGACTTTGGGGAATGGTGAGCAAAAACTTTCTGTATATTTACTTGTTTTATCTTTTCTAATCATAAAAGAAAGGAAGGCAGAAAAGAATAGGAAATATAAGGATTGGTTTACTTTTTTTTTTTGGTATTCCCCAATACCAAAAAAAAAAAAGGAGTGCTTAACCATTGAGCCACATCCCCAGTCCTTTTTATTTTTTATTTTGAGGCAGGGTCTCACTAAGTTGCATGGCTACCCTTGAATTTGCAATCCTCCTGCATAAACCTCCTAAGACACTGGGATTACAGGTATGTACCACCATGCCTGAACCATAGAATTTTTGAGGAGCATTTATGAAAGGGTGTGTATATGTGTGAGGAGGTTTGGGCCTGGTGGTGTGCTGGACAGGGAAGGAATGTATATGGGACATGGGTGGGATGCTAGTGCAGTGGTTCAGTAAAGAGGTACTAAAGTCCTAAGTGGGATGGTAGCAGGATAGGTATGGATATGACATAACTTAGATACTGTTCTTAAACTGATAAATGTTGGGCAAGTTCTCAAAATAATATGTATATTCATTGACAATAAGAAATGTAAAATAAATGATCTGTAAATGGGTATGTTCTGCACTCAATTCCATTTTTAGTTATAGTGGGAGGTCTGCTTCTCCTAAGTCACAGTCCTATGACATCAGCAAACATGTGCTACATCTGTTAATCTTCAATCTATTTCGAGTTGGCTCTAGAAGTTACTTCATTCCCTGAGAACGAAAAAGTTTAAGAATCTTTGTGGCAAAAACAAAAACAAAAGAAAACAAAAAACATTCATTGAACAAGAAATGCAAAGTGCTTTTACCAAAGACTTAATCCAAAGGAGAAAATTCTGAAAAGATAGTCCACATCTTACAATTTGTATTCAAAAATGGTTTCTACACAGCTAGTTGTTTAGAACTTGGGAATCATTTTCCAAAAAAGCAGTGCAATAAATAGTTCCTACTGATCCCACAAAAGCACATTTAACATAAAATCAGGTGAGACTTTGTATTTACCATAAAAGGAGTATTTTTGCAATATTGGCAATGAAACAAAAATATACTTGCATATGAAATAATGAAAAATATTTTTAATACTATGTACAATTAATCATTCTTCCTCTGTCTGATCAACTAATATTTATAGGCTATTTTCTATGTGCAAAGGATATACTGAGAATTCAAAAAGGTGTTCAGCTAGTTCCTGACTCCAATTATTTTACAATAGAACTGCTGGAGGATGAGGAGGCCCAAGAGAGCACCTGGCAGATAGTAGGTGTGCAAGGGATTCTGACTATAGTATCAGGAGACAGAAACTTCTAAGGACACACCAGAATATCTATGAGGGATACAATCCAATGTGAGATGCAAAGACAGAACAAAGGTGGTAAATTATTCCTGAGGTAACCAGAAAAAAAATGAAATTAAGCTTCATGAAGTGGACCAAGTAAGAGTTGTATGCAATGAGAAAAGGCTTCCTGAGGTGAAGAAATGAAAACGAGGAAAAACAGGGGAGTAGATAAAAGAGGTGGCAATGTGGAATAAGAAGTCAGGAAAATCTCTATAGCAAAGAAGGAGGATTCAGACAATGCCAGGAAGTCTCTAGGCAGGTGAAAGGGGAAGGCAATTAATAAACCTAGTGGTTACAGACCTGTTATCATTTCTGTTAAAAACTGAAAAGGGCTTTAGAAAGCAAACAGGTATGTTCTCAACACACAGGTTATGTTCTCTCTCTCTCTCTAATCCAAAATACTTTGTGCATACTGGTGGCTCACAAAGACCACTGAATGAATGAACTCATGAATTACTATAAGGTAACTCATTTTTCTAATCCAATGTGAACATAACCTTCTTCACTTATATTAATAAAAATTATTACCACATTTGTAATACCAACCACTGTTAGATTTATACATATTATTTCATCTTCACAGAAACCTGAAAGTGAGTGCTATTATCACAAACTTAATAAGGAAGCTAGAAGATTAGATATTAACTTCCCCAAGATTACAATGAGACAGTTTTTCTGAGATTCAAACCTATATCTGCTAAGTTTCAAAAATCAATGTTTTTTCTTTTCCAGATCTCCTCCCCTATGGGCTGTAACATTTTAGATGTACAACTCCCGTGATCTCAAGATTCTACCTGATGTTTTTAGGTATCTATTTATTTGCCTTATTTGTTCCTACTAAATTTGTTACTCCTTGAGGGACTGACTTATTGCTATTATCCTTACACATTAAATGCTCAATATATTTGTATTAATTAAATGATAAATAAAAGTAAATCTTAGTTCAGTAATCCTAAAATTCAGTTACTATATTTTCATAGACTTCAACAGTCATAAAACAATGCTGATACACATTTTTTTCTTCATTAACTTCAAGGAATGAAAACACTGGTTTCTAGAAAAAGCTAGCTTTCCAGTCATTAAATCCACGTTTAAACTTTCCTATAAACACAGTAGTAATTTTCTTAACATTATAAACTTAGATAATATATATTATTTTTACCAGTACAATACTTCCAGAAAATGCCCTTTTTTTGGGGATGATCTCCATGACTCCCTTTATGACTCTTATTGAGCAATCTCCACGTTTACTTGCAACAGAGGCCACACCCATGTCTTTGGCAGCATGATACACAAGAGCCAAAAGGTACAACAGCTCAAGTGTACACAGATAAAGAAAATGAGTTCTACACATACAATGGAAAATTATTCAGACTTAAAAAAAAGGAAATTAGAACACATGCTACAACATAGATGAACCTCAGCAGCCAGTCACAAACAAATACTGTGTGATTCTACTTATGAGTTATCTGGAGTAATCAAGTTCATAGGAAAAAGAAATCAAGTTCATAGGAAAAAGTGGTTGACAAGGGTTGGGAGGAGGGGAAATGGGGAGTTATTTAATGAGTAATGAGTTTCTGTTTTTAAGATGAAAGACTGGTTTGCACAATGATGTGACTATACTTAACACTAATGAATAGTACACTTAATATAATTAAAATGTCAAATTTTGTTTTGCACTTTTACTCCCCCATGTCAAAAGGAATAGAGGCTATTATGAACTGAATGTTTGTGCCCCCCACCAAATTCATATCTTGAAGCTCTAACACCCAATGTGATGGTATTGGGCAATGGGACCTGTGGGAAATAGGTTTAGAAGAGTTTATGAGGGCAGAGTCCCCTTAATGGGATTAGTGTCACATACATACATATACAAGAAATATACAGTGTTAAGCTACTATTTGCTATGGCAGTTAATCTACTATGACTAATATACAGTAAAACCTCTAGCACGCTCCAGATCCTTTGGCTATGGCAAACCCAGTAACAGTTGAGTGGTCTCCTTACCAAAAGAATTTGGATAGAAAACAGTCTGAGATGCAACTTTCAAATATCAATTTCTAGACTGCCTCACATGTCTACATTAATTCAACCTCAGTTTTAAAAAAGCGAAACCATTTAGCACAAAAAACCAAAAAACAAAACCTATTCTCAATGCATTATATATATTTGGCAATCTTAAATACTAGGTACGCACATTCTTTCCCACCTTTTAACAAGGTCTTTAAGTTGAAAATTACCTTTCACACCTATATTAGCTCAATGAGTAGTAAGACAACTCATAAGCAATGGGAATAGGAAAGAGGAAATGGGGCAAGAGTTCCAATTATGTAGTCATCTAGAAGAACACAAACTCTCAAAGTACATGATTTTAGATTATATTTTCATATCTTGGTGGCACATCTGGATGCTTCCAAGGAACACTTCTCAACCTATTCTATAGTCCCATTCAGTCCTCTCAGGGGGATTATGTAGAATGACTAACTGTTAGAGTCTGTAAACAAGTCAAAAATAACACCTGGCATTTTGCCAGGGGAATGTTAGAGTTCGTAAACAAGTCTGGATGGTGCCTGGCAAAATGCCAGAGGGAGTGGTTTGAGAAGTAACAAAAGCGAGCCATTAAGTGTGGAGATTCCTTATTGGTTGACTGATGTATCTAGTTTGTGCTAATTAGATAAGCTGTGTGGAATGTATAAATACTGCTCCTGTCCTGCAATAAACGGCTCCCACTCCTGCTGTATCAACGTGCACAAGTTGTTCGTCACCCCCCGGTTATTTTGCTGCAGCCAGACAGACTGCGGCAACTAACTCCCTCCTCTCAACAGGAGAGTAGTCTACAAAGACACAGCTTCCAAGATCTTGGGAGGTAGAGGCAGAGTATCTGGGTGCACAGCAATCAGTCTGGAGCAGTGGTCCCTCTGCCAGGCTGTCCAATGAGACCTAACAGATTCCAAGGTCCATCTCAGAGACTCTGATTCAGTAGTCTAGTTGTGGGCCAGAACACTGATCAGCAATGGAGTAATCAAGTTCAAGTTTGTGCCATAGCTCTTAGAGGGCTGTTAGACTGACAGTGTACAATAAATGTTTACTTGTCTGTCTTGTAAGCACATCAAGAACAAAGGCCTCGTC